AAGAAGCTTTCTCCAGTCTCTGAAAAGCAGTGGACACTCTTTGAGATGCTGGGATTATAGGCAAGTTCTTAAAGCAGAAGTTGCTCCTAAAACCCTGACTCCGACAAAGGTACTTGGTGGACACTCTCTGAGATGCTGGGATTATAAGCAAATTCTTAAAGAAGAAGTTGCTCCTAAAACCCTAACTTCAAAGGTACTAAAACCCTGACTCCGACAAAGGTACTTCTATGCCTCCGTACCCGATTCCACATCCAGGGAGTACTTATCGATGGCCAGGTTCATGGTATGATAGGCCGTGTTGCAGAAGTCTTCCAGGATCATGTACACAGCATTGGTGACGTTCCGAGGCACGGGCTTGGCAAATTTCATTCGGCTGTTCACTACAATGCTGCCATTTCTGAAGTTCAGGATTTCCAGATTCTGGAAGCCTGTTAGATTTGACTGAAGGTAGGGAACCAGCTGCAACACAGGTAACAACAACAGAAAGGCTGAATCTTTGAATCGTCTACACCAGCCTGTTTTTGCCTCAAAAGCTGAAGGAGTCCTAATGATTTTATTCAAATTTCACAAGAGTATCAAAACTCTGCGCAGCTGCCACAACAAGAGTATCAAAACTCTGCGCAGCTGAGGCCCGTAGTGGCAGCTTGCCCCAAGCAGGAGTACAGCGCACAATTCTTAGAATAGATCAATTTACAGTCATTTTCCTGAGCTATGATACAGAAATGCAGTCTACAGGATATATATGGTGATCTAAGCACCAGGCATGCTCATCATCTCACAGGGCATTACCTTGAACCATGTCCCTCCTTCCCTTCCTGTCCTTTGCTCCCTCCCTCTTTCAAAATAAAATACTCCTTACAACCAGGAAATGGGGATTTCTGGGTTAAAACTGGAGAATTGGTGCTGTATTACTTTTATGTGACCTTACTAGCCATCGGCTATTTAGGACATCAGCCAGTTTATATTCTCTAAACCACCCCTTAGTTAGGATAGGCTGAATATATGAAGAAGGGTGGCTCCCCGCAGTTCAACTTCACTCACTTCTCTCCACACAGAATAAACTAAAAGCACTCAGGAAGCGAATAAAGGGAATGTCCCAGTGACTTCAGCTGTGCTACATCTACTGACACGTGCTGAACATTTCGCTCGTGTTGCTGAAAAATTACTGTCCATCTGGTAATGAATGTTTGTCAAAGAAGTAATTCTTACCAGTTCCAAAAAACGTTGCTCTAACGCTTTATATTCAGGAGAATTTTTATTAAACAAGTCCTCTGAAAACATCATGTTGGTAACCCGAAGACTGAAGAACACCACTAGAGCTCGTGATGGAACAGGAGTACTATTGTGATTTTCATGAGTGGGCCAAGCCACGCTGGCCATTTCTGTGGCCTGGACATTTGTTGTTAGCTCCACGTGACTCTCAGTCATGCCCCTTCTGTCCTCAGTCAGCTTAGGAGAGGAGTAGATAGTGCTCACATGATCTAGCTCCACTGAGATACCCAAGACTGTTGTCATTTCATCTTCCAGATTTGATGAGGTAGCCATAGACGATGATACCGTAGATCCCATAGGAGGGAAATGAGATGAAAGCTCAACAGTATCTGTTGTTACTCTCACTGTGGCAAATGAGTTCATAACAGTGCTAGTACTATCAGAAACATGCATGTCAAGGTCCATATTACCATGTGCAGTGAAATCCTCAAAAACAGTGGTCTGATCTATTACAGAAGGAACTACAGTTGAAACCTGAAGTAGAGTTGGCATTGCTGATTGCACTTTGTGATCTAAAGTCTTCTCCAGCGCACTGTCCGTAGGCCAGATGTCGTCTGGTTTCTTCATCAATGATCCAGTAGCTTCCTGATCTGTCAAGATTTGCTCCTCTTTTGTAGAAGTATCAGTATTTACTGTGAAAGGATCTACAGTCAGAATAGTTTCTGAAGAGCTTGTGTCCAAGTGGCCTATTGTAACAGCTTCAGCTACATCCAGCTGCCCTGCTGTGGCTAATTCTTCTAACATTGTTCTGTCCTCATTTTGGTGTTCAACCACTTCAGAAATGATGTTTTGATCTACACTGAACTCTTCAGGTTGTTCCACACTGACTGTCTCCGTAGATACAAGAAGATTTTCTTCTACAGACATATCTGTATCCTGAGGTGGGAGAGAGGCCTCTCCAGCTGGCAAGCTTACAGAGGAATAATCCACTGAAGACTCCAAAACAAAGGATGGTTTAACAAAAGGGGAATCATACATTCCCATCTGTGTAGATGATTCCACCGAGGATGGGGCTTCTGTCTGTAACAGAGGTATAGGCGGAGTTGAAGTCTCTGGAAAAACAAATACTTCAGACTCATCCGAGAAGTCTTCTCTTACATTGGTATCAGTCATACCTTCATCCTCATCTACAGAAGGATCATCATCTAATTTCTTCCTAGAGTTAAGAATATAATCTAAGATCAGACCTTCAGGAATATCCTCAGTGCTGATTAACAGAGACTCATTGTCATCATCAAGCCAGCTATCAGGACCAGGGTAGAAAACGGGTTCCAGTGTTGCTACTCCCCAGGGCCAAGTATTCGATTCCATTTCTTTTCCTGAACCATCAAAAGCTGAACCAGATCCATCATCATTTATAATTCTATCTCCATCTCCAAAGTATATATCAGTTTCACTTTCCATAGGGTCTACTTCTAAGGGAAAAGAAATTTCTGTCACAGACTCGTATGACACGGAGTCTGCACTATCATTCTCTGCAGCACTACCCTTAGCTACTGCTTCCTTCTCAGGAGATGCTATTCCTTTTGTATCAGTCTGTGTGACTGATGAAGAGGCCATTGTTGGTGCAGATAGCGGAGGAACTATCTCATCGTCTGTGGATGAAGGTTTCTTTGGCACAACAGGAGAAGGGACACTTGAAGGCAGAAGAAAGTCTTCAGATAGTCCAGTATCTTCAAATCCTAAAAATCAGTTTTCAATTAGTTTTTATGAAGAAAACAAACCCAAAACAAACAAACAAACTGCCCCGCCTCACAGAGATCTATATTCAGCATATTTCTTGTGATATATATTGCTCATGTTATACCACAGTCAGAACCCCTGATGATCTCTCCAATTTTGATTCTGATATTTTGTGGGCTAAGTCAAGACTGCAGAATAAACAGTACAGCAATAGCTGTGTGGCACATCCTTAGGCTAATTAGTCTACTTTAGAGACCAGTTATCTCTGCATGGCATCACTCAAACATGCCCTATCTGAAAATATTTCTGTGCAATTGAACAGGTGTTTCATTTGCACAATTTCCTGGGGGGAGAAACAGACATTATCAGCTGTTACAAGCATTTTATCATAACATCTTGTTCTTGGGTGCATGGCACATAGGAAACATAAAAACAATCCTACAAAAATGTATCAAATTTTTAGACCTAAATCATAATTTTGGTGAATTATACCTTTAGTGAATTATAACTTGGGTGAGTAGCAGGAAACACTGGCATCCGGCATTAAACTTTAGCCAATGGCATTAACTTACCATCTGAAGGATCTGGGACTGAAAGCCATTCCAGAGAATCTGCAGAATTGTGTCCTAATCCTGATGGGGTGACCAAAAGAGGAGTCTGATTCCCTTCTTCCAAATCTAGCCCATCAGGCAAAGAAGTGATGTCAGCCTCTGGGGAGTGTGGAGCTTCAGGTGGCAGACTGATCTCGGAGTCCAGATTTTCAGGTTTTGGCCGGATTTCATTGTCATTGGACTGCTCGTTACCTAAAGTGAAATCTGGCTTGGTGAAGTCGAAGGGCAAGGTATTGCTGGCAGTTGATTCATCTGCTGAAGGCCATTCAGCCACAAAAGAGTTATCCTGAAAAAAGAAAAACCACAATTTCTGTTACAGGGAAAGTGCTGACCAGCCACAGTGAGGTGAATGAATGTATAAGGGTGTTAACCCTTGGCCAGCAGCAAAATCAAGTACTATTGCCTTTGTGAGGATGTAAAGTATAGTAGCAAGACATGTCAAACTGAGAGGATTAGTGGTCTTTGCTACTAATGTATGGTGTACATGTAATATATATGTCCTAGCCGAGCTTGAAGGGCAGGTCGCCCTGTCCATTGAAAAGAAAACTGTGAGCAGTATTGACAAATAACAAAGAATGTACATAATGAATCTGTGAATTGCTTGAACTGGGAAAAAAATAATTTGTTTTTAAATCCCTCCCCAGTTTGCACTTCATTTACTTTCTATGATATAAACCAATTATTATTTGACCTACAATTAGAATACGATTAGAATACCCAGCACACTGCATATGTCTTAATATTCACCTTTTCATAGTACCTCTTGAAGTACACATATTAGGAAAAAAAACAAAACAAAAAAAATCAATAAAGAGATTAAGTTATTTGATTTAGACTGCAAAAACAAGCTAACTACTTAAAACTCGGGAGTTACAGTGCTTTGCACTGACATGTGCCCAAATGCCTACGCTGTGCAATAACCTGGTATGGACAAAAAAAAAAACTTGAGGTGTGAAAAACTCCCAAATAACCTAAAGAACGACTTTACTAAAAACTAACCAACTGTTGACGGTGACCAGTAAAATTAAGTGGGCAGAGGTTCCAAGAATACTTATTACATCCCAAAACTAAATACCAATTTAAATACACCTGTGACTCACTATTCCTATCTAAACTGGCTGTTTGGATTTACTAGCATGAATAATCAGAACAAGTTTAAATATTTTTCACTTTGAAATTCTACTTCTGACTGAAATATAAAGGTGAAATTAATTTTCAACTACACTCAAGCTGTATTTGAACAATGTTGAAACAAACCAATTAAGGTATTTTTTGGTCAATTATCTGGCCACCTATATTGATCATGTTTTTATAGACAGTCATTTTGCCATCACAGTCTTCTTACATCGTAGCATTTATATGGTAATGATTAGTTGAAAAATACATATACCATATATGCACATGTGCTTCAGCAATTATCTTATTGGCAAAATTGTCCACTGTAAGTAAACCTGTGAAAAAAGTTATTGTGCAAGATTAGAAAGAAACTCCACATATAAATTCCATAAAAATGAATAAGGACTAACAGCAATAGCCTCTCAGTACAATATTTTATGTGAGCATTCAGTTGCCAGGAATTGCACTTCATCATTTATTTTAATGTGGATAGATGTTCCTATGACAACTAACATTATTCAAAGATTCTTGTTGCACTGCAGTATATTATATTAACAAGTTTGATATCATGTTGGCAAGTTTGGTTTATGCTAATGTCTTTTGAAAAGCTTACAAATATGACAGATGACTGCAAAGAAAACCTTACAAACTCCCTGATTTTCCATTTGCTGCTGCCAAAAAGACATTGTATTCAATAATCCAATATATTCTACCTGCTGTAGAGATTTCTGCTGTACTCAACAGAAAAAAAAAGTATAGATTTCAAATGCTAGAGTTGATTTTCTTTTAAGAGAACTATAAAATTCAAAGAGAAGAATTAATGGTTAGTTGTTACCATCTCCTAGGGATTAGACTGTGAAGTCATTACACTGCCACATTATGCCTTGACCCTGTAAGATAATACAAACCCAACCTCTAGAATCTTACGTAACTACCTAAACAGTATCTACTTGAACCATAAAGGATAGATCATGCACTTGTGCAAATAATTAATGATTAATAAATTCAGTTTGTACTCCTTGTCTCTAAGCAGTTTATGACTTTCTCAAATGTATTCAAAATTATTTCCCCAAATTATCTGTTCATTGTAGGTTGTACATAGCTGCTTTTTGGGTATACTCAGTATCTTTACTTTTTATATAATCAGATATTTTCATTGAAGACGTAAATGACATGATATTATTCACACTCCATGATTTGAAAAAAGGAAATTCCAGTAATACTTCTTCTACAAACTAATCCCTAAAACTCATTTAAGATCAACTATCATAGCAAAACTCCTTCACCTATAAATTTTTTTGCCTGCAATCTGCTGTAGTATCCACAGAAAGAATTTAATAACAGAGCTCTCTATCTTATTAAAATAATTGTATGCAAAATTAGAATCTAGTTGTATAGCTCTAATAATAGGAAGCCCTACCTGAAACCTAGCTCAAATTCGTGCTTATCCACATCGTGTTTAACCTATTTATGACAAAACCATGTAAATTTGCTTTTTAGACACCATTGGTTTTAGACATCAGTGGATACAGGCATAAATATAAAGGGACTGTTAGAACAAGAGTCTTTAATTCTGTGAAGTTGCAAGAATTTTGCTTGAATCTATAAGGATCTTAGTAACAGGCCTGAAATCTAGTATCTGTGTTCACAACATATGCCCATGAAACATAGCTGGGTGTGGGCTTTTTATATGGACTGATCTCATTTCTTCTTGGAAGGTACACACTTGTGTTGCACAACAGAGCTCAGTGCAGAATTCTACTGGATAACCCCTTCAGCCCAGACAGTGCTGCACCGTGCACAGACTCTGGCTGTCAGCAGAACTAATTAACTCAATCTCAGCATCGCTGGCTCAGGGGCACCTGCCTTGGTATCTCTGCTTACAGCTCCACTGCATTGCACGGGCACGTTCAGAGGTCCCAAGTCTCCTGTCCAAAGGGAACTTCAGCTTTGGAGTGATTTGGGACGGAGAAATCAGATGAGATAATTTATATGTTAAAATCAAACCAACACACACATACACCCACAAAAGATATTAAAAAAACCCCACAAAACAAACAAACAAAAATGGCTCATATTTTCCTGTTTCCTTTGTTGACACTAAGGGGATGAACATCATTTAAGAAGTGAATTAAGAATTTTCAGTGAAACAATACAGTAAAAAAAAAAAAAAAGGAGCATAGGAAGCTTACCCTTTCATCTCATCTCTTCTAACAGCCAACTTAACTGCCTACATCTATTTCTTTGTTTCCAAAGAGGGGTGGAATTGTGGAGAGAATCATGTCTCTTTAAGCCATTTATGGCATAAACATTATGAGAAAAACAATACTGCCATGTAAGATAAGGTGACCATGGAAAACTGTTGTGCAACAAATAAACAAATTATCAAAAGATCTCACCAGAAATCTTTTACTCCATTCTATAATGTGGCTTTATGACTGCTCATTCTGTATGATAGATATCCTCTGGGTAATTCCGTCTTGCTGAATTAAGCTGCTCACATGTGTTTGATGGACACATGGCAAACTAAAAGACCACTGCTCCAAACCATACTCACATCAAACTCTGGGCGCTCTTGCACAACAGGATGCTCAGTGATCCAGGATGGGTCTTCTGCTGCAGGCTGTATGATCTCTTTCACTGCAAAAATAAAAATACAAGGAATCTGAGAATTGCACTAGCGGCATGAAGAAATTGTTGAAGGCTAGTGTGAAGTTGCAGAAGGCAGACTGAAAAAAGATCCTTCCTCATCTTAGGTTGCTAATAGACTCTTGCTAGTAGGGTGTTCTCAGAAGTTTTGCCTGGGAAAATTTGCTTCTGGAAGTCCCCCTAGATCACTCACAGGGAGTGCAAAGGAAAGTTGGAAACAGCAGGCCTGGATGGCCCTTCTCCACCAACCATGCAAGGATCCCTGAGCAGGCAACAAAACAAAATGGGGTTCCTTTATGCTGCTCACGACCAATACAGAGCTACTAAACTGAACTCATCTTAAGTGCTGAGATCAAGATCACAGTGTGATAGAAAAAAAGGAGAGGCTAATTTAATGGATTAGGAATGGGACCTTACTGCCAATGACCTGCCCTAGTTAACATTACAGCAAAACAAACTACAGTCCATTTGTTTTCATCATTTGTTTTTAATTATTCAGAGGACAGCTGAATAATTCTCACCTGTGCCTGAGAATTATCTTATAAGACCTCAGATGTATGGCTCACTGACGTGTCTTAAGTAATACTTACTATTAATAAGTTGGAGAGAGCTAGGTTCCAAGGTCAAGGATGCATTTTCCAGCAAGGCATTTTTCTGGAGGATTTCAGCAATATAATCTTGGAAATCACTGATGGTGTAAACAACTGTTGGATTATCTTCTATGTCCATAAAGGAATTGTCCTCCACTTTGTTGGAATGAAGGTTAATGAGGTCCCAGGTGGCATTGCTGATGGCTTTTCCATCAAATGTAACAGCATAGTGGACTTTCACCCCACTTTGGTTTAACGAAGAGAAATAGAACAAAGATTAGAGGATAAAGTCTTCAAGGTATTGCATGTATCTTGTTTGTTTGTTTATTTAAGAACCTGGGTCAACATTTTTTAAAAGTATGATGCTTTAAAAGAATCAAACGCAAACAATTTAATTCAAAATAAAGACAAAAATCTATTTTATTCTTCTTTACACTTGTGCCTGCAGTGCTTTCCACCACTGCAAAGATCCATATAACAAAGTTCTCCAAAAAAGACTACCAGAACATTACATCTGGTTTGGGCATAGTATTGTATTCTACTTGTGAGCAGCAGAAAGAACCCAAGAAGAGCAAAATGTGGGCTCCTGCCAGCCTTATTAATGGCCCCACCAAGACACAATTGTGTGAATGATGCTTATAGGATCATGGCAGCAATGGCAATAGCTGTGAGGTATGAAAACAGCAGGGAAAACAGATATAAATATATAGAAGCAAGCGGGAACCTTGATCATTGTCAGTGTGCAGGGTCAGTCTGCTTGAAATAATGCTTTTGAAGGCACTAAAATGGCACTTAATACAGCCTTTAGTCTGAAAAAAAATATTCCCAATTACTATATCATTTGGTCTGTTAATCTTTTAGAAAATGGGGTTTTTTTTGTACCCATGCACTGTTGAGGTTTTCTTTGTATTAACTGTCCTCTATTTTCTTTATTTTCTTCTCTTGATTATTTCTGAATGTCCTTTCCCACATGGCAGCGTAGCAATCAGCTTTACCATACACTGGGCATAAGCACAAAGGAACTTTAGAAAATATAACATACTTTGGCTGTACACAGAGCGCAGCAAGAAAATGAAGTAATCGATGAAGTGTTAGGAAAAGCTGCTCCAAAGATAGCTTTTCCCCATTCCACAGAGCTGGACTGCATTGCTGAAGCAATGGCTCAGCTCAGAGAAGCCTCCAGAGCCTCCAGAGCCAGACGTAGCAGAGACCTAACCACAGCTCCGGAGTTTTGCTGCTGGCTCTGTCATGGAAGCGAGCCCACCACAGGTTCATCGTGGGCACCGAGTACCAGGAGAAGGAATGAAAAAGGAGAGCAGTAGCAAAAGGCACTGCTAAGATGGAATACAGCAGGCTAACCAAAAATAACACGGAGATTTAATAAAACTGTACTGTCAGATGCACTTTTTAATTGTGAGCTCTCAACTACAACACCATCACCTGCCTGGAAAGGGCTAAAACGCCTGGAACAGAATCTCTCTGGACAGCTGGATGCACCCTGCCATGCAGAAGTGCCGAGTGACAGAGGATGGCTTTGAGTCACTATTGTTTATAATGAGGTTGGAGTTTTCTAACCGTTCTGTTAAAATCAAAGTCCTCAGTGTCTGTAACACTGTGGAAACTGGACATTACTTATACCCCTGCTGAAAAGCAGACAAAAGAAAATACTTCTAGCAAGTCTGAGGCTACAGTTATTTTTTGTCTGTGTCATTCCTGAAATATATCGAAGGAGGAAAACTTATATCTAAATATCTAAATACATCTTCCCAAAGACAGGCCCAGGCTGATCTCCATCCTCTGCTAAGGAATGTTTATAAAACTTCTGCTAAGGTGTTAGCAACTCAGGCCTGGAATTAGTTATTTCTTTGTTGGAGACATGTGGCTTTCTTATCTATTTGTATTTTCATAACATTCATCCTCCAGACTGCTGCAAATTACAGATACTTTGAGTCATCATTAAGTAATTTTGTTTTCTTCACCAAAAAGACAATACCTAATTCAATAGCTGAGTTGCGCTTAGAAAGATTTTCCCCAAGCAGTTTGTTGTGATTAGCATTTAAATAAGCAAATCAGGTTATCTGAAATCAAGTGAGATCATTTTTTTTTTGAGTTATTTGCAGTTTTTAGTAGAACCCCCACCAAGCATATTTATGCTGGATGATTATTTCACTCCAAAGTCAAAACCACAAGTCCTCAAGCAGTCAAGTTGTAGTCTTACAACTAACGTGCATTTTTCCATCTGCATTACATCAATGTGAATAGAAGTTGTCTTTACCTTTCCTCCTCGGGAGAGCTAAATATAGAAAAAAACAAAGGAAAACAAGACCCGTTAAAACAATTTTAGCTTTTCTTTTAAGTCTTTTAACATAATATTTACCAAAATGACAATGGTATTTTATAGGACACAGATATTTGAAGAGGCATAGAAAAAAATGCTTATAAATTGCACAGTTATTTTGTCAAATAAACAAGGTTGTAGTTTCTCTGAACTGAGATATTTAATATTCATCACTTAAAATCAGCAGAGTAGAGCCATCTCACCTTATTGCAAACAATGCAGTTAAATTACTGTCAGTGCCAAGAGAATCCAAGCTCACTAATTCTGCCTAAAGACTAGCTCATAAACACATTTTCCATCAGACAGGACAGAACACAGAAAGGAGCTCTGGTATTTTGCCAGAAATATCAACCTTTTATTTCTCTGTTGAAGCAAAGCTGGGATCTTACAGAAGATACTAGACTGTAAATAATGAGTTGGAAGGGTTTGCTACCTCCCAGGCAGAGCTTTGGCATGGTACATGTCAGTGTACCAGTTTGCTGTGGTTTTAGCCACAAGTGAAGGTGGGGACTGAAAAGCTGCCTCTGTGCTCCTGCAAGGTCTGAAGTTTCCCTTCAACTCTCATATACCCATGAACCAAACTATCAGCTCAGATAAATATACTGTATTAGCAGGCTCTGGAGTGGAATTAGTCACTACATTTGGGCAAATAGCACAGAGTTTGTCACTACATTACTGCCAGAACCATTTCTGCCAAGTTCTTTTGAACAAGTTTGTAATTTTATTCCTATACCATTCTGTTCTGGTACCTCTGACAACATCTAATCGGGCTCATCCCTCCAAGTAGGATATTTCATCCTTGTCACCTGCAAGGAACTGAAGCATGAGGAGGACAAGCAGTTTGCCTGCAATAATGAAGTGTTTCGTGGCTAAGCTAGAAACTGAACCTAGTCCAGGGGTACAACCACAAAACCTACTTCTCTTCCTATAGCTGCTTACTTATCCTCATGTATTCTAGCAAGTACAATAATTGCCTGGAACATTCTAATACAGATGACTAAAATCTCACGGAAAACGCAATTCAGGTTCACTCATGAGAAGCCTCACTGGATTCTGAAAGTTAGGTCCAATCCATTCAAGAAGAAGAGACATAGTTTTTGATCCATGCCTCCCAAACATCAGACATCAAATATTTGATGCATAATACTCAGAATCCATTACTTTCCCAAATAAATTTAAGGCATCATTCTGAATCCCAAAGTAAATTGAGGAAACTAACATTTTTCAGCAATATTCACAAGAATAAAGAGAGTTAAAACATTGTAAATAATTTGCAAAAGCTATCCACCTACATTACCTTTGATTAAAAGGAGAAAGACTATTTCGTATCTCAAACTGTAACTCAAAGATTACAATCTAACTTTTTGACTTAACAAAAAATAACATTAGAAATTGAAAAGCAATTTAAGTACACATTTTTCCAAAGAGTTTTTATCTTCAGTGTTTAAACTACAACATGTCAACAGCATTGAAGACCTAAGAGATACTGATTTTATAATGAAAAGAGTTCTTCTATAATGTAAGACAGAGTCTTAAATAAGAGTGCCTTGCCTTAAAATCAAGGCAGGCATATCATGCAAGATACTCTTGTGGATGCCAGAAGCAGAAGAGAGGAAACAACTCTGAATTTCTATTTTAATCTTTGTCTATATATGTATAAACATAACAGTATGGAGGCATTTGTCCTTTGGTTAAAACATCCTAGAAACTCCTATGTCTGTTGGCATTCACACAATACTCTATCACAAACAATTGTCAATCACTGCATATGCATCCATTCAGGGAGCATTATTGCTGGGATGGATGCATTTTTAATGCATATTTTACTATCTCTTTTTACCTGTATTCCAACACATGAACACTTTTGTATCCAGGTAATCCTTCAAATGCCTTTTGGATCTATTTTGATAAAAAGAAGAAAATAACAACACAGATTTAACCTCTTTGGATTGGCATAATCTGGAAAAAAAATTAAACGAGAGGAGGCAGCAATGGCAGCCTTAGGAACAGAGCCCTCCTCAGCTCCAGAGAGGCACTAACGCTGCACAGAGCAGGTCTGCCCAAAGAGCTGGTGTAGAAAGGGCTCAGGAGTGGGTGGCAGTGCAGCTCAAAGAGGAAGCCTACGGACAGCAACTTGGTGGCACATCCAGGCCTAATTCAATACTCAGTTGTGTTGCATGAGACCTAAGAAATAAATACTGAAGGTTCATGCTGCGTTAGCTTCTTTTCCCCTCCCCAAAGACTCTTGCCAATTGAGGATTATTTTTTACTCCTTCAGTTCTCCTTTCCCTCCCCAATCTCCCTATTTTTAAACTGCCTCTGGTGAGATTTAAACAATCTGAGTGCTGCCAACTTTTTTTTTTTCCTTGTCTCCTCCAAGTGCTTCTTTATCCAAGCACAGGGAGAACCGGGCAAGGAATCAAAGGGGCGGAACATCCACATGCCAGGTGGACTCTGTCCCATTGGACATTTCTTACACACACACACAAACACACACTCTGTGGCATTGCTACTTGGCCACACGTCTAGGAAAATTAAGATGTCTAGCCTATGCTAGCAGCTTGTGACAGTTGTAGTGATGCTTTTTGGCTACTGTGAAGACTGCATCTATTTCCCATCTGGCCCAGGATCTGGCACAGACTTAGCCCCAGTGAAAGAGATTTGGAGTTTGCCAAGGAGAACCCCAAGTAAATGGGACTAAGGAAGGAAGGAAACTAAAGAATAGATGGTCCCCATGCTGTCTGCCCCTCCCTCAAGGAAAGAAATATGCTTCTCCCGAGACGACAACAAGCTCTCTGTCCCTGGAAGATTAAGGAAATAAAATACAGGGAAAGAACAGGGAGTGAAAAGTTCAGAGATAGAAGTCTGATTATATTTTAAGTGAGCATTTTTATTTTGTTGGGCAATAATTTTATTTGCAGCATATAAATGAGAACATATTAAACTTTTATTAGAATTAAATTACCTTTAAAATAAATTCTAATAAATCATATATAAGATACATGTATATTTATAAAGACACATACGGATTGGAGGTTGTTTTGGGTTTTGTTTTTTCTTTGTTTTTGTAAATTGGTGCCTAACCGTCTAACAATGCTTCATTCCCACTAACCCCAGTGGGATTTAGGCATGTGTTTAAGAACTTTTCTGAAGGTAGAGGGTTTTAGAACGTGCTCATATGAACTGCTGATTCTGAACATAAATGAGGAGCGAGTGTTGTCTTGGCTGTCTCAAGATCAAGGAGTATCTCACCTGGGAGGGAGTATCTCAATGATTTGATTCACTCAAAGAAATGCCACTTACTCTCAAAGAAATATTACCTACTTTATAGAGTCTCTATGACAAACGTCTCTACTTCAGTGTCATTTCGGGACACTTCTTGTATTCAGGAAGACTTCCCAATGAAGACTTTCATTTCAGTGTTTGGCTTTGGCAGGAGATCCAGAGCATGCCCACAAGGGCAGACCCAGGAGGACCTGTCTGCCTTCTGCTATCAGGAGGCAAACAAGATTCCGGCCACTTTCTTCCCTGTGACATCTTTAAGTCCTGCCTCTAGAGGGAGAGCGACTGAAAAAAATCAGAGAGGGCACTAAGGCCAAAATGAGCCCTGATTAAAATAAGGGTTTAAAAGAACTGGAAGAAGTGCAGTTGTCTTATTTATTAAAGGCACCTGGCTTAGTTCCTTTTGCTAACATGAAGCAAAGTAAAGGAATGAAAGCAGAACAGGAAATAGCATCCCTCAGAAAGATCTGAGCATGGAGACAGAGTATGTCCCCTTGCAGAGGCTCAGCATACTTTTTTGACCCCCCCCCCAAAGCACACTTCTACCTCTTTTGCCTGCAAAAATGATAGCTTACAATAAAGATAGCTGACAATAAAGAGGAAACTAGAGTAACTATTCTTTGGCAGCTGTTGTGCTGCACACAATGAATGACACAACACTACTACTTCAAAAAGGATGTCAGACAAAATAGGATATTCTCACAGCGGATGAGTATTTTCCAGCCTGCCTTAGGCAGTAAGAGCCCTAAGTTGGTTGTGCAGAGCCTCTTAGAAAAAAAAAAAAAAGTCAGTACTAACACGGATGCTGCACAGAAAGAGGAAAAATAAATAAATAAAATAATAAAAGGAAGGTAGAGAAGGTAAATTACCTGTGCAATGAATTGTTCTGAGAGCTGCTGATGTTTTGTGGAGGTTGGGTCGCTCAACTCCTCACTGTACTTCTCTCCAGCAATGGTAATGCTGAACTCAATGATCTGCTCGGTTACAGGTTTCAATAGCTGCTCATCCTCCTTCTTTATCTCATTATTGATCTGGAGGGGAAGGGTAAAGGGAGGAAACAATAAGCAATTTAGTACCTTTTAGGTTTGTAATGCCCTTCGACTGTTTCCTTTTTCCCAGCCAATAAATTGTTACTCATTACAGACCATAATCCTACATATTCCAGGTGAAAGGTACATAAAAAGCATCCAAGTATCTATACGTGCATATGACCTGCTGTCTGTCAGCCTGCTGTTATCTGTCAGCATGCTACATTTCTCAGGATGGGTCTAAAAGAATTCTTACATGGGCTAGAAACTTCTCTAGCCCCTGGAGACTTTGGCCCATAATATGACAGACACCGTAAGTCCTCTTGATAAATGCTATATGGATAGGAACACATTAGGACACTGCTGGTGGACCACAAATACGGCCATGGATGTATCTGGTGACATATGAAAGCTGCAGCTCAAAGCAGGGCATGCTGTCTGAGCCATCAGCCTGCCTGTTTGCCTTGCACCGTAACAAAGGCCTCACGAAGCCTCAGAGACAGAGGTGGCAGCTAAGGAAGAAGTGGTTTAAGATCGCAAACTTCTGACTATTGCTTTGCTACTCGAAATCCCGCTTTCCATTTGCACACCTTCCATCTAACACAAAGCACATCTGGCTGACCACTGCTACAAACAGAAATTCAGCTTTGTGGGGTGTTCACGAGGCAAGTTTAAAGTGCACCACCAACAGCTCACGTGAGCTCCCATTTACCACAGGGATCCTATTTATGATTTCTTTTGGGAGGCTGCACAATAAACTGTGCACTTTGAGCAGTTAAGGATCCTAGGAGATTCACTGAGGTCATCAGGGGAGCAGCCAGGACCTCTGCAAAGCTGAACTACCATCAACAGGTCTGCAGGGGCCTGAGGAAACCTGCAACAGCATCTGCAGCAGCCAGTAGGAGCCTGCAGGTACCACAGCTGCCTTGAGCGGCAGCTCATTCCAGTCCATTTTTATTCTAAGTTGAGTGAGCAGGACACAAAGAGCACCTTCTGCTTATTTCCCTACTAATTTGCAACAAATTGACTATTTCTTCTGGTATAAGGAAAGATGGAAGAGGAGAGGGGAAAAAAAAAAAAAAAAAAGGCCAGAGAAAGGATGGGTTGGCTTAAGTTCAATAACAAGTCTTTGGCTATTTACATGTGACTGCTGTTTTTTCTCTATTTTTTGCCTCTCTTCTGAGGCAAAACCTGAGACCTTTCTGGCAAAACTGCAACCTGTACTATGCACAGTGTGGGGGAGAAAAAAAAAAAAAAAAACTTTCTCCAAATAGCTTAGCTGCAGTCAGTGAATGACTTACATACTGTATAGGGCCCCTGTAGGTATTTTTAGTTAAACTCTCTTCCTCCCCTACTCCTTTTTTGACAGGATAACTTTGCTGCAGTCTAGAATGAGTGGTACACCACCTAAAGCTAGTTGGCATCTGACAGCTATATACTCATCAGGAAAATATATGCTGTTGCTATATAGCTCTTTGCAGCTCATTGTAATATCTGTCCCCCCAAAATAAAGCTACAGTCAACACGTGAATGCATAAGATGAATTTGACTGGCTCATGGTCTTGTAATTCACAACTCATTTTGGCTGTACAGAGCTCTGATGAGGTGTGATGTAGCTGGATAAAGGGTGAAAATACTGTTGCAGCAGCAGCAACAAAAACGTCATTCTAGTTGCTTTCTGATTTACTGAGTGGTCTCTGCTCAAGAAGTAATATTCCAGGCAGTTCTGTTTTGAGCAAAAATAATGCTGTGTGTGGGACCAAACCACAGCGTTCCCGGTCCACAATATAAAATCAGAGCCTTGACACACTCCTGGGCTTGAGTCAAGAGTTGTCTGCCCATTTCATGTTGAATGCTCACTCTTGAAAGCGCAACGCCAGAGTCCCACAGTCCGCCCCAAAAGCTCTGGAAGAAAGCACGAAGTTTGACCCAGCTCTGCTCCGTGGCCCTCTGCACAGTTAAACTCAGCTCCCGTTCACACACAGCGCAGGCAAGTTTGAAAGCTCCTCAATAAATCTAGAAAGAGTTTTGTGTTTATATGAAAACAAAAGCCAGCTGATTCATACCACTGGTTTGCCAAGTTTTCTTCCATGGCCTTGTAGGCCAACATACACTGGAGTTTGGGCTTCACTTTTAATCCAAAGGAACTGTCTCCTGGACCCTGGGAGCTGTGTGGTGGGCAGCACTCTGCAAGCCAACTCGCTTCTACAGCAGCACTGAAGTGCTGGCTGCAGGCCTCTCTGTGCCGAGAGTTTTGTTTTAGATACCATGGGGAGGGTGACTGCAAGACCATAAATGAAAATCCATACATGCTGGCAGGGCAAAAGGAGCAGAGAACTGGGAGGAGACTTCAGGGCTATCCAGGTCAACTCTCCTCTTGTCCTCAGTAAAGGCACCATGCGGACCCTTGCAACGTTGCCACAGCAGTTTTAAGGGTACTATGTTTCCACAGAAATAATGCTCCACAGTTGTCTTTGAGCTTTTAAAAAGCCCAAAGCACTCACTGCCTTGTCCTGTGTCTCTAGCAAAAGCTTTGTTTGGTAGCTCAGCTGATCCATGCTCTCTGCAGAGATACTCTATTGCAAAGCCACTAGAAATGAAAGAAAACAGACAATTTTCCTGCAAACGCAGGCCATTATTTTAAAACTTTCTAAAGGTCATGCCCTGGTTTTAAGAAATCCTAATCTGTGTCAGTACACTACACTAGCAACATCCTTAAGCACAAGGAAATGGGAATGTCCATAAATTACATTATTTAGAAAAGGGAAGAAAACAGGCCCAAGGAAAAAGCCACTCACAGCAGTGTCTGCATCTTGGATCTCATGGACAGTAGTGCCTGAAGGACTCTCAACAGAGACCCCGTGCGGGGGAGGAACGTTGGCAGCTGCATCTGAGGTTGAAAAAGAGCAGTATTTTTTTTTAATCCACACACGTATTTAGATACATGAGTTCAGCAAATGCATACTAACTAGCAGTAATGCTTCCTGGTCCCACCATGAAGACAGAAACAACAACAGAATAGCAGCTGAAATAGAAACAACACCTGAGGAGCCTGAGGAAGAGCATCAACTGCAAGTATCTGCTTCAGCAGGTGTTGTATTTTGGGGAACATAAAGCGAACTCAGTCAGAAACGTGCATAGAACTAATTTCTTTAATAGGATCTCTGTGATTCATTTGATAGTCTCATAACATCGACCCAAACCCCAACCTCCAAATCACAACTGGGATTATTAAAAAAAAAAAAAAGCTACATTTGTTAATTCGCTATTAATTCAGAATCAGTCTGCATGGTGTTTGGATGGGAACTGACCTCTCAGTGTGGTAACATCAGTAGCTGATGCTGGAGTTGGAGTCCCAGTACTGTTAAACAAAAATAAATAAATAAATAAATGGATCTGAAATGGAAGTTGGACAGGGTGATATATAGATGTTTTAGTTTTTGGTTTATGTGCCGTTCTACTGCCCCACCGTAAAGCACATTTTCAGAATAATGTCATGGTACTACTTTGCAGATAACTTTATTAAAACAAAACAAAAACAACAAAACAAAACAAAAACAAAAACACAGGCTTCATAATATTTTAGCTCTCCATGTCAGTCTAGCTCTCAGGTCCCTCACATCTCTGTTCCACATCCTGTGCTCCTCAGGGGATGCTAACCCTCCTCATACTGCAGCAGACACAGTGTCCTCAAGTAATTCCTTTCTGCAAATGAAGCAAGTGTGAAGACCACAGAGGTAAAACACAAAGACACTTGTAGTGGTCTATAAAATGCTCAGATTTTAAAATACAGTGCACTAAAAATTGTATCTGTACTAAGATCACTACCATAAGATGGGCCCTTTTACCCACAGTTTTTACCCTGTTTATTTGGAGGTCTTGAAAAGGCACAGTTTCAAAACTCAATGATTGCATTTGCAGACACACACACACACACATAACATCTCTAGGCCAGAAGTGAAGAAAAACATGGCAGCCAAAATCAAATGAAACTGTCCATCTGAAGAGAAATCAACAGCCTTGACATGGCTTTAAGAGTAAACCCAAGCTCCTTAGGACCAATTTTGAGAGTCCTGAGAGATGTTAAATTTACTAAGAGAGGGAGACATGCACTGACAGAACCAGTTCCTTTCTGAGAAAAATTGACTTGTCAGGTTTGCCCTATTTTTGACATGTACAGCACAATCTGTAAGGCTGGAAACCTAAGCACTGCAGAGAATCTGAACACTAAATCTGAACCTCAGGAAATCATTGAAGTTCATTGCATTAAGATATTTCTGTCATTCCCAAGGAAACTCCTCCTTTATTGGTTTTTGGACTTGTATGAGAGAATAACCATGACAGAAAGGAGGCTACACTACTATATTCACTAGAACTCACGCCACGGAGCCCATGCCTTCCTAGTCCTGCCAGGTGTGACTTCTGTCTGGCATACACAACTACTGCTCCTGCAGGCTGCCCTCGAGCAAAGCTCTCACCGAGGGTGACAGATACTCTCCCTCCATCGGGATGTAGGTAAACACATGCTGTGACACTCCTAAAGCAAATGCCAGGCAGACAGGCGCATCGAAAGTTATACACCAATACACCTGGGTACAAGGCTCAGATAAAACATATGATAATTTCAGTGAGCTCCTGTGTCTCAAACTTTCTTTCTCCCCATGTCTCTCACAGGCTTGTTATGCAAGTATTATAAAACTTTCATTTATATATGTGTATATAGCATCTGTATGAACAAAGGAGAAATTACTGATTCAACAATTTCAACAGTACATTCATCTGAAACTTAAACCGCTGAGCTCTGTGGAGCCCTTGAAACAGAATTGTTTGTGTCTGTTTCCATCTCATGGAATCTGCTACCTGTTTTCAGGCAATGCTCTCACCCATGAACTGTTTGAAGAGATTATCATTCAGAGAGGGGTGTACACAGCTTCCAAGCATCAGCCAAAACAATTAGATGAAATTCACTGAAATGGAAAACTACCAGAGACGATGGTATTTGTTAAGCTGGTCATTTAAATTTGCTTCTGGACAGGAAACACAAACTAGGGACATTTCTTGGACCTCAAGGAAGGAAGTCACCAGGAATAGCTCGCAAGTAGCAAAGATAAAGACCATGGTAAACATCAAACACCCTTGCTCCTAATACAGACAGAGGCCCAAATCCAACCGCCACAAATCAAGGATTTTTGAAAACATAATGACACGATTTTTTAGCGTCTCTGCTGCATCTTTTGAAATTTCAATAAGTCTTGGCCAGAATTCCGGGAACTAGAAAGCAAGTCACTAGCAAGCAAGTATAATTCAGACAAGATACTCCTGTGGTAGCAATGGCAGAGGATAGTCATGAGTAAACTCATCCAAAAGCATCCATGTCTTTCTGCTAAAAATATCAACAGAAGGATTTAGATTTTCTTAAAAATGATTATTTTATTTTATAGAGATTTAGTTTTTCTATTTATTTCTCATCTTAAAACTACTTCTTAATTATTAATTGGTCAGATGATATATTTTCCAGTTAAATTTACTTAGCTCTAAAGATGCATTAGTCTTAGCAGTTCTGATGGGCACTAGATTACACCTATACCAGAGTCTTGCCAATTTAAGGCATCAATAACTAAAGCATTTAAGTGTATCATATTTAATAACAGTATGTTCACAGGGAGCACATATCTACTACCATTTAGGGGAAGTGAAACATCATCTGACAATCCACTTATCACAAACCGCTCACATAATCAAGGTCACACAATAAAAAGCCAGCGAAAACAAGATGACATGCAGCGAACAACTTTGTTACAGCATTTCTAATGAAATAGAATGAAAAAGAACTTATTATGACAAGATAAATTAGGTTCTGAGTTCAACCTAGGACTCATAGGGCTTGTTTCAGCTGCCTGCCCATACACAGGTGGCCTCTCATGCAGCTCCGGGGCCCCCGGGTGCTCCTCTGGGCTTCCAGCTGCTGTCCCTGAAGGGACAGGTCTCCCTCCCAGATCAGTTGTTTCTAAACAGAGACTCTCAGTGGTACAGTGTTTTTAGTACAAGCTACCAAGACCTAACCAATTTTCTTACAAAATTCTGGCTCACAGCAGGCTGTAAATTAAAAGCAGAAGAGTTAAGTAAAACCCAGTAAAACCTTAATCAATTTAATCAAGCAAGACCAGCAAAGAATTGAGGTTGATCAAGTTAAGAATTACCATTTTCTTCTCAGAGGACAAAAATACTGTTTTAAGAAACTGCATTATAATCATTTTATGCAGCTATTTTTGTTTTTTCATTTCCTCGTCAGAACTGGGGCTCAGAACTGTGAGGTGTCTTCACATTCACAGCCTTCTCCTTCTTGCAATGTTAACTTTTCATATGCTCCTTTCTTAATTCCCAGAACAGGAGCAATAGTATTAGGTAGTTCTAAGGAAACCATTCAAAACATCTGTGACAACACATTACTGACTTCATCTCATAGTGCCTGACTGAACACACTGCTTTTAAGGTAAACACACATTCAATTTTCGCTTTGACTTGAGTTGAAAATATGGCGCTTATTTATTTTTTTAACCCCAGCATTAATCGCCAGGCCAGGCTTGACCTTCAGTTATACGCACAGAGCTGAGACACCCCAGGGTGGAAGACACTTCCAGCAAGAGCTTTTTGTGAAACGGAGACGAATAACATATGACAGAGTAATTTCTGCTGTCGTGCTTATGTAAGTGGAGCCCTGGACCACCTGGATCTTGGCTGAGCACTAAGCAAACTATAAAAATACACACACATGTACAGAGAGGCAGGAAGCAACAGGTACAAGCAGATGTCTAAGAATGAACAACACTGCTCATTTCCTTGGTGGAAAGCATGTTTCAGATCACACAATCTATCAAACATCTGAGCCAAGCAGTAGTAGAGGCCCACGTGGTTCTCGGAACGCATCTTGCTTGATATAAAGCAAACGATGCTGGTGGGCAGCCTATAGATGTTAGTACAACAAACAGTTCCTGCTATACTCCTCTCTTTGAAATCCTTATGTGCTTTCATGTGACATCAGCCATGTCATGAGGGGATATGCTTTTCTGCAGTCATGACAGGATATTGAGGAAAACCACCACTCAACATGTCAATCAATGTCTCAGTGATGCCACTTATTTTTCTTCCAGGAAATTTTATAAATATATAATATTTATGAAACGAATATTGCATTATTGTGAAATATCTAACTACCTCAACTGCATGGTGGAAAAAGGCACCATCTCTAGATGGTAGAGGTTCCATGAGTTCATTTATCAGTTCAAATGTCCTAAAGGCTAATTTGCCACACCCATGTTCATCAGTTCGTTTATCATCTGAATGTCCTAAAGGCTAATTTGCCACACCAGGCATTTCTTATTCTTCATATTATTTCAGTGCTCATATTTAAGACCTTTGCTCAAATAAGAGAAAGTCATTCTTCTGTTCTGAACTTGTTATTTTTAAACACATCAATCATGGGTTATTGAACTAAGCGAATATGCAATGTCAATAGTGCTTTTATCCAAGTATAGAAGTGCAAAACTGAGCCTTGCATTCAGATTCTTTTCCTTTTAAATTATCCTTATATTTATTTTAATTTTCATGATGTCTTGATGAATATTGACTTCTCTTGTTTTTAATTAAAGCAGGGCAGGACAAGCCTGACAGTAAGCAACACAGAAGTAAATATGCAGCTAAAAGAAACAGTGGGAAATTCTGTTTGGGGTAAAGCTGTGCAGATGCTCAAAAATATCTGAAGCCAAAGCACTACTGTTGCCAAGACCAGTGGCAAATAAAGGAATCCAGATATGCCTCCACTTCACTACAGGCTGAAGTAACTCAAGGTTTGGGGTGATCCCAGCATGGAGAGCACAGACTTGCCTTTCATGCAGCCCATTTAGGTAAGAAATACAAAATTTGAGTGGATCCGGCATAAACCACTGCTGCCACCACTACATATGATCACAAACACAGATCCTAAATTTGCTAATGATTCTGAGTGCCTTTAGCTGACACAACGCTCACGCACTTCTGACCCGGGCAAAGCACCAGCACGTCTACTAGGCTGCTGTGTAGACATCTGCATTGCGTCCCATATATTACTTTTCCCTTTAGTGAGCTCCTCTCCTAAGTGGCACTCATTCAATCCTCCGAGTCCACAGGCCAGGCTGAGCGCTGAACCTACGTGAATGCAAGCCCTGGTTTTACGGGAACAACTTTCATCCTGCTGTTACATAATCACCAGTAATGCCGGATTGAGAGTTATTCTGGGACCTAAATTACACAAGTGCAAGCCACCTCACTGCAGGCCATGTTAAAACCATCCTAGCATTTAACTAGGTGAAACCAGCTTTTTCCAGCTAGGTGGGGAAACAGTATTGACATCTAGGTAGGATTATCTGAGGTATCTTAAATGATTTAGGTCACTGCTTCAACTCTGCAGCTGCTTGTAGCTTTCAGCACTGTTCTGTTTGTCCTAGAAAGGTACTGTTGTTAAAATGGCCAGCAGGCATCAAAGGCCTCTCTTCACTCCCAGATCAGCCCTCAGCTAAGGAACTGATACCCCAATTGTTTCACTGCTTTAGTCCTGTATAGCTCACTCTGCTGTAAAACACAATCATTTCCAACCACAAAACAAACAAAGCATGTAAGGAGAAACAAAAGATATTCCAGGGCTGAAGTCTAAACTAACTGTGATAACAAAGATCCTATTTTAAAGCTGTGAACAACCTCAAATAACATACGCTGAGATAAAAGCAGCATATTTTGAGAGAGATGCAATATAGCCTTGCAGCAAGTTGACTTAGCTGAAGCACGTCAAATGTCCACTAGCTTTTGGAGATGCAAGGCCCTTTAATGCCTGTCACAAAGCACTAGGTAAGATATTCTTCAGATGAGCCCATCAGTTGTATCCCATATCTTTATGTTTAGAAGTTTTCCTGAATGATGACACTGAGACATAGATTAGACTTTTCAAGCTCAAACCTCTTCAAAAGGATGATTTTTCCCAAAGCTTCCAAATTTCAAGTTGAAACAAACCACATCTCTGAATTCACACTTGCTGATTATAAAACGAAGATCCCTTCATGTCAAGGCCTTGTTCTGTTCCATCAGAACAACTGATGTTAATGAGGAAAAAAGCCAGGCCCGTGAAGTTCACAAGGACAGGATCTCTATTTCTATGTTTTTCTCTTTAAAAGCAAGAGCATATAAAAAGCATATGAAACTTTGGCAAAAGTTGTGGAAAGGAAGCTGAAGAAATTTACCCTCCACAGTTTACCTGTGCACTTAGGGAAGCGCTCACAGGAGAGAAAAGTTCAGCTCAATGACAGAAATATAAACCAATCTCCAAGGGGTCAGGTGTGCCATTACCTTCTCATGCTATTAACTTTAACACATGACATTGTGGTTATTATGTCATTATCAGAATACTTAATTTGTGGATTAAGCTGTTAAGTGACTCCTCTGCCCAGTAAGTGAATTACTCATATTTATCATAGCTTTATGTAGCCTGTAAAACAAGGAATTGAATCAGAATTTTTTTAGATGAGTTCAAGACTATGTTAGTTGGGTTTGGATTGCTCTGAAAACAACAGATTAATTTCTGTTTGGGAATGTAGTAATAAGGACATCAATGTTTTTTTCTTTTGTTTGCTTTTACTGATTCAAGCTCAAGTCTGCTTTGGTGAAAGGAATTGCAACTCAGATTTCAGTTTTCAGTTTAATTCCTTTTTAAATGTGAGGAGCCTCCACTCATCCCCTTGAAACAGTGTTTTTAGAGAACAACTATCAGAAGGTTTTAAAATAAAATAAAATAAAATAAAAGTTTTCTAAACATTCCACTTCTCTGTTTTTGGTGATGATGACTTGAAAGTCTTTGGGAAAGGTTCACAGAATAGTCAGAATACTAACACAAGTCACTATGGACACATAGCAGCTTTCCCCTGCTTTTCCCCACTAAACCTCTTCAGGTAAACAGCCTTCACCTATGCTTGGCAAGGAGTTGAGCAAAATAAAAAGCCCTTTATCAATCAGCTGGAATATTTTCAGCATGCCAAGGGTGCTGGGACAACCTGCCAGAGCTCATTACACAAAAAAGACAACATTTCACTTGTCTACTTTCCATAGACTCTTTTGAACTGAGGTGCATTTTGGTTTTTATTCTGTTATTAATAAATAAATAAATAAAAAGTTTGGGACAAAGATGAACTCTAGCAAGAGCAAAAGTTAGAGAAAGGACTTACCAAGAGAGTCTGAAAAGAGAAAATGACTTACCCACATGACCAGTCTGTGCAGGCGCTGACAAAAAATAAAAAAATAAAAAAATGGAGAGGGGTTATAAAGTGTCACAGCTCAGCCTTGCTGCTATCATCATGCAGAATAAAACACAAGGTAAATGCAGATACTCACCCACCCATCGCTTCCTTTGTATAGGACAGTTTCTGGAAAATAAACAAACAAGGAAATCCTAAGTATATTTGAGGAATATAAGATGGGAGGAACTGAAATGCAGTTTACATTGCTTTCTTCCTTCCCCTTTACCAAAATAGTTATATTTTCTTTGTTCATATATTTGCTAAGTTCAAAATCTCTTAGCAAATAAAATTTGCTAATACAGAGAAAACAAAGCAAACAAAAAAAAAACTCCATACATTTCACCTCTGGTGCAAGCAAAACACATGCAACGTTTCCTAAACACAATACTATAAAGAACTGCAAGTTTGTCAGAAGATGCTCTGCATTTCTGTCTTGACAGCCAATGTTCTGCATTTCCTGAAAATCCTGTCTGTCTTTAGTTGATGACTTGACATTACTATAAACCTTTTAAAATTTAGGCTTTGTGTTATTTTTTAAACTTTCTTCTTGCACATGTTCAAAGGAAATAAAGCAAAGAGGTCAGAAAAGGAGCCAGAAAATAGTAAACAGATTCAACATCTCTGGTTGGAGTGCAGGCTAACAGTAAGATCCTTTTCAGTAAGAGATCTTAGGAAATACAGCATTTCTCCTGCTACTTGTCTGTACATTTAGAACCATCTTTTTAAACATAGAATTAAATTGTGTAGTAGGATTAATTCGATGACTATGTTATAGAAGTGACAGGAAAGACATTTTTTCGTTTATTAGTGTATCAAGGCTAAGGCAGGGGTACACAGGCCAATATTTTCCAAATTCTTAACCAAAATCCTCCTAATATTAGTGAAATTGGTTCTAGAAAGGAGTTGCAAGAGTTTTTGAGGGGAACTTCAGAAGAAATGGAGGAAATCCTGAGCAGTGTGTAGTATATTGATAGCGCTACATCCTGTTGCTACACCGATGTAGGTGGAATATAAATTATTTTTGGAAGAGTGCTGTCTAGAAACAAAGTCTCATTTTCTTTTTTTTTTTTTGGAAAATGTTTGAGGGTTCTTTTATTGTGTTGACTTTCTTTGCAGATATATTTTTCAGTAGAAACAGCCCTAAGAAGGTCTACTTAAACGCCTACTCTTAAATCAAAGCACAATGAATTTAACACGCACTATTTCCACTGTGAAAACTCCTCTGCAAAATACCCACATGTGTTTAATGACCTAAGAACTGACACTCTATGCTCCCCTGCTAACTTTTTCTGTGAACCAGGAGTGAAAAAGGTAAAAGAGACTTTCCAAGCAAGCTAGTTTTCTTATTCTTTGAGCCCATGTTTCTGAGTAGGTACAGAGGACTAGTCTTCTATCAGTCAGGAATTGCTGCAGTGTCTCTGACTTTCCTCCTTTTTCCAGGCCATCAGTGGGCAGCAAGTGCAATCACAACTGCAAAAGACTCAAATGGCACCATGTAGTCTAACAGTGACCAGACTCAGATGTTCATTAAGGGATTGTTACAGTGCTCTATATAGTGCCTCTACTCAGCTTCAAAGCAATGTGATCTGCATTAATTCAGATACCGATTCCCTCTCTCCCAGCTTTCAGAAATTTATATTCAAGCAACACTTATATTTGCTTTATATTAAGCAACACTTCAGCGAGTGGCAGTTGCTTAGGAGAAGAGAGGCCTTCTTCTGTCCTTAAACATAGCAGCTTGTGGGTGCTATTAAAAACAAAACTGTTTCTCAGGAGCTCTATATATCTTTTTAACACCACTGCCAGTCAGTACCCAGCACCTTTACTCATGAAACCCCAAAGACCAGCAGCGGCCACTACAGTCACATCCATTTTACAGAGCGAGGAGACCAAGGCCTCCATGGAGGCCCAGGAGATGTGACAGAGGCTGTGCCTCATGGCAGCACTGGAGACCTGGAGGCACCCAGCTTTTTCAGTCAGAGGCCCGGGATCACCCACAACGTTATGGCGTGGCCAAATCTTGTTCTTCTATAAACTGCAAGGATAAAGAACTGACCAAATCTCAGATGCCATACGTTACTTTATAACTCAAGAGTTCTGTAAATGAAAATAATGTTAAATAAATATATGCCTTAAATGACAGTTTAAATGACCTGACTTCACTGTTTTCTTAGACAAGTAATATCCAATTAGATTCAATGGCAGTTTCATTTGAGAAATAAGTTTTGCATATATATGCTCATAATGCTAAGGATGTGAAAATGAAGCATCCTCCCTTTACTAAGCCAGTGCAATCTGCAATAATTCGTAGTGTGGTTTCTTTCCTTCCTTTCCTTTCTCTATTTCGCATTCCAGTTTGGGGCAAGGACAAGTCCTGACATACTTAATTTCACGGCAAACAGACACCTTTTTGCTCTAATTAAAGTCAAGAGGTCTAGAACTAATTTTGGCTCTGCTGCTCATTTAGTTCAGAATAACCTTTGCCAAACCATCTCACCCCTCTGACTCAGTTTCTTCGTTTGCAAGACACAGTTATAAACATGTTCTACCTACCGCACGAGGATCTGCAAGGACTAATTAACACGTCTACCCTTCAAGCACTTGACATGATCTATAAATAGCTGTGCAGAGTAACCTCACCAAAGCCAGAGGCGATGGCTTTCACTCAGTGAAGCTGCCTCTGCAGATGCTTTGCACAAAATTAGTTTAATCTGCTGAAGTGAGGCTTTTCCAATATTATTCTGCCAGCTTTCCAAAAGCTGGCAAATTGGCACTAGTGTCTCCCCTTTTCAACAGGCTCACTTAGTTTTATATAATATATAATTACTGTAAGTTAATAAAACTCCACAGCATTAAAAACAGACTACAGCAATCATTGAGTCACAAATATTACTGACTGCATGCATGAGCTTCTGTCACCACACAAACCGATGGAAAAACCATCATGAAGGATTCCTATCCCACCCTAAGAGATGATCTTCATGCACAGTGGACAAAATACCTTTCTTGGGGATAGTTCCAGACAGGGAAAGGGGGTGGGAGGAAATGTCAAGGAGATTTTAAATAATCTCATAGTAGTTTAATCCCACGCATGTAGGACTGTAGCAGCTACGTTTGATTCAGCACAGTTGTACAGGTGTACAGGAGAGTCCTGTGAAGAAACACATCCCTGTTGGCCAGCCCTCAGTTGGCTGCAGCCACACGGTACTCACAGAGGCAGCACCGAGGCCCGGAGTGGGGGGACTCGACGGGGAGGAAGAGGACAAAATCTGGATCCAGAGCTGGAGGAAAAGGCTACAGTGGAGAATGGTTCTCTGAGGGACACACTGGCAAGAAACAGGGAGATATGCGGGGAACAAGGGATGGGCTTGGAGGAATGGGGAGTTTTAGCTAGCCAGTTTGAACTGAAGGCTAGAGGTCCCCAGGAAAGCATCAGAGACAAGCTAAGGGTCCAGTCTATCCAGGAGGAACTGACTCTGCAGAAGCACAGAAATGGCTCCTCATTCTGTGATGTTCTCAGTCTGTGTAGACATTAAAGTAAAATAGAGGAAGATACATTTAGCAAGGAAGATTACAGAACAGGCAGAAGAAAGACATCAGCTTTCTGCCCTACAGGAACCGTACGAAAACAAAATCAACTACTGCATGAGGTGGTCAGAAACTACTGTATTGGGAGCTGGAGGTTACAAACAGCTGCCTTCACTGGGATGCTCGATCTTCCCTTTGAACCCAGCTCGGGCAAAATCATGTTACTTTACACTGCTTAGTGCCCACTTCAGCAACCTAAGGTGATATTTTGATACACTATCCACTAAGGCAGCCTAAAGCAGAGTTGCCTACTACGCTTCCTTCTCACTGAGCAGCCAGGCTGTGATTCCAACACATTGAAACAGGCAGAGCTTCTGATGAACCAAAGAGTTAACACTAAAATGTACTGCTGAGTTAATGCAATTGCATTTTTTATTCCTTGATCCATCTGTTTTTAAAGCTTTCCTTTGGTACGACAACTTCGGTAAGTCCTTTGTTTTCCTCTCTGCGTTTTATTTCTGAGAGGAAGTTGAGTTACAAACACCTTTCAATGGCTAACTAGGCTTACACCCCACTAAAAGGTATGCACAGCTCACAGATCTACCTCTTACCAACATCCATTAAAAAGGAACTATACATATATATATGTATTTTTATGTATTCACACACACTTTCTGGTGTTTTATAGAAATATGGAGAAATAGCATTTGGGTCATGCAAGTGCTATAAAGGCCTCATTCATCATATTACATACCCACACTAAAAATATGGGAACCAGACTGCTAGACCTCATAGTAACAGAGATGATCTAGTTGGAAACGTAAGGGTTGGTGGCAGTCTTCGCTGCAGTGACCATGAGATGTTGGAATTCATGATCCTGCGAGAGGGAAGCTGGGCAAGAAGTCGGATTGCAACCCTAGACTTCAAGAGAGACAATTTGACCTCTTCGGGGACCTACTTGGAGGAATCCTCTGGGCCACAGCCATAGAAGGAAAGGGAGGCCAGGAGAGTTAGCTAATATTCAAACACCACTTTCGCCAAGCTCAGGATCAGTGCATTCCTACAAGCAAGAAGTCAAGCAAGGGAGGCAGGAGACCTGTGTGGCTGGGCAAGGAGCTGTTAAGTACACTTAAAGAGAAACAGAGAGCATACATAATGTGGAAGAAGGGCCAGACCACATGGGAAAAACATAGGAGCAGTGTCAGAGAATGCAGCGATGCAAAAATACCAATAAAGCATCACTAAATGCCTTCTTTTCTTCTATCTTTACTGTTAAGGCTAGACCCCATGAATCGCAGAGCCGAGACACAAGAGAGAAAACCGGGAGAGAGGAAGACCTTTTCCTGGTTGAGGAGGATTGGGTTAGCGATTATTTAGGCAAACTGGACACCCACAAATCTATGGGCCCGATGGGATGCACACAAGAGTGATGAGGGTTATTGCTCAGCTGCTCTCTGTCATCTTCGAGAGGTCATGGAGAGCAGGGAAGGTGCTGGAGGACAGGCAGAAAGCCAACATTGCCCCAGTCTTGAAAAAGGGCAAGAGGGAGAACTCAGGAAACTACAGGCCACTCAGCCTTACCTCTGTCCCTGGAAAGG